AACAATTGTTTCACCCGACATCCCACAGCCTACGAACAAAACATACCCGTCGGTCAGGTCGTGTACTCGATGACTAACAATCAATTCTATTGTCAAACCTCATGCTGCGCTGCCATCAAACAGATGTGTATAAAGTTGGATTCATAGCCCATTAGCACTTCGGTGTTCGCATGTGTATGCATACATCATCATATCCAATTGCATAAGCTATTTTACTGAACTGTGAGAATCCAGCTGTAGCATTACATCCTGTTGTTTTCTGTGTTACAACATGTCAGACAATACTAACATATAGTTATTTGTTTTCGTCTTCAGTAAAGTGAGTGAGTGAATTTAGTTTTACGCCGCTTTTAGCAATATTCCCGCAATATCATGGCTGGGGACACCAGAAATGGGCTTCACACATTGTACCCATGTGGGGAATCGAACCCGTGTCTTTGGCGTGACGAGAGAACGCCTTAACCACTAGGCTACCCCACCGGCCCCGTCTTCAGTTAAACTGTTAATGAGGATATGATAGCTGAATGAATGAATGAATGAATGAATAAACATACTCATTCACTCATATGATAGCTTCATCAAATCGCGATCGTTGTTTCGTTACTTTCGTTACAAAAACACTGAGCCATATGTACTATGTGTCTGATGTATTGCTGTAAGTGTTTTGAATGGCACATAGATTAGTACGGTGTATTGCTGTATCTGATCTGATGTGTATGATGTTTACCGTGTGTGATATACATGTACTGATGTATGAGATGCAATGATGCATCATGTATTGCTGTGTATAGATGTATTGGTGTGTTGCTAACTTGCTGTGTATGAGTGTTGATGTGTATGGCGTACTGATGTATTGCTGTGTATGGCGTACTGATGTATTGCTGTGTATGATGTACTGATGTATTGCTGTGTATGATGTACTGATGTATTGCTGTATATGGGTGTTGATGTGTATGATGTATTGCTGTGTATGAGTGTATGATGTATTGCTGTGCATGATGTATTGCTATGTATGATGTATTATTGTATATGATGTATTGATGTGTATGAGTGTATGATGTATTGCTGTGTATGAGTGTATGATGTATTGTTGTGTATGATGTATTGATGTATTGTTGTGTATGATGTATTGTTGTGTATGAGTGTATGATATATTGATGTGTATGATGTATTGATGTATTGTTGTGTATGATGTATTGGTGTATGGATGTGTATGATGTATTGATGTATTGCTGTGTATGAGTGTTGATGTGTGTTATGTATCAGTAAGTATTATGGATTCATGACAGAAACTTGAATCGGACAAACATTCCACTTCAATACCAGACTTAAATTATCAAAAGCGAAGTACAGTAACGCGAAGTGTTCCGTTGGGAGCCACGCCAGTTGGTTTTTACAAATGTCATAAAATGGAAGCTGAAGCCATGCCATTTACTTGAAGAGAGTCAGTGAAGTACGAATTGAAGACACCATGCTGGATGAGCTGCTGATGACGGGAAATACCCTTTGAGGCGGCACAGATTTCCCGTTGTAATATGCAGGCCAATGTGGAGCTTTCTTTTGGTAACCCGACCATTCGAATTGAAACTTTAGAATGTGGAATTAACTGAGGGTATTAAACAGTTCTGTGTGCCTTCGCTCGATTACTAACGTAAGCACACAGGACATGGACTTTCATCAGGCAATAAAACAGTCACATTGGTAGTGATCACGTTGTCGAGGTTATCCGCTACTGTTACTTATTCACTTCTCAAAGAACACCATCGGTGGTACACTGGCGAAATATCATGTTTATCATATTGACATACACAACTCACCAAGATGTTAGGTAGTTATGTTCACATAGCATTAGTTAGTATTGTCCAGAGATTTCCAGTGGTAACCTCAGCAACCTTCTCAGTTTATACACACTTTCTGCATTGTACAGTTGCAACCGTTAGGCTGAGTTGTAGCAGTGCTTCACGTTTAAACAAGTAGTGGAATTTGTCACCAGCTGCTTGGGAGGTACATAAGTTATCCACTCTGTGTTCTCGTCATTATTCCTATATAGCGCAAACATATCTTTATTTATGACATTTAACGTTACACCACACATATAGCCATCGGTGCGTGAAGACAAATACATGGTCATGGAGTGTTTGGACGATCTCCAGTTTCTTTACAGTGTATCGGTCTTTGATAAACACTTTATGTTAGAAATGTTGAAAATACCAAAATAACAATAAATTTGTCAATTTAGAAACCATGCAGGAACATTTTCCAATAACAGCTAAATAACAGCGACAAAGTTATTATTAAGCTTGAAAGCACTTAACTGTATAATTCCGACCATATCATACGCATGTGTTCGGCATACATTTCTCCTGATTATGGAAATGGTTTATGTCGTACTACTTATGAAACAGTGATGATACCAGAAGTTTGGAACTGCAGCAGACATTGTGTTTGTCACGGACTCGTCAAATGTGGAAATGTCCTCTAAAACCGTTTTGAAAAGGTTTACTAAGACGTTGAATGATGTAGCATTGATCACGTACTTTGAGCAAGTTCGTATTAATGATAAAGATTGTATCACACAAACTTGAAATGTAGGCTGTGAATAGAAGAATGCCCGCTGCTGGAGCATTGCTCGAGACAATCGAAAAGCTGATTATTGCACAGGTGTCACCCCATCGATTTTCCTTCAATAAGTGAGGCACATTCCGATCGATTTCTCAAATCGTCTGTGTCTTACTTTTTCCTGGTGTACTTCAATGTGCAGAGCCTAGCTGGCCCCAACAGTATAACTATACCCCTACTCCTGTGCCCTCAAAGTCCGTTTCTCTAAGGGTGAGGTACTACAATGAACTGGTGCAATGAGACGGGTGCAGCAGTATGTAATTTTAGTGAACAAATGTGGCAGTGTTATTATTATATTATGTATATATCTGTATTTTACATATTTGTATATATTCAATGTTGTAATGAAATAATGTACTAATTTTTACTGTGATGTTCAGAATAAAATAAACTTGCTTTCTATTTAGCTCCTGGTTGACTTGTCTTTAATTCAGCTTTAATATTATTTAACTGCCTTTGGGTAGCTGTGGGGTAAGATTGCATAGCTTGGGTCACTCCTTTGTTTAAGACAGCTTACGCCTGATTGGTCTTGTTTAAAATACTAAAGTTGAGCACTTCACCAGCCACTGTAGACTGAGACTGACCAGATGTTCCTCCAGATAAGTTATGTATTTTGTATGTTTTTACAATTATGTACTTGTATATAGTGCTTAATCAGTTATAGTCAAATCATGTTTTACTTTTATCTATATAATCAATATAGGTATAACCCAAAAATGTAATTTAACTAAAACAGTAAGTCTATACACAGTTTAATTCACCTAAACATCAGCTTTTCACTTTCCTATTTCTGTCCTTGAGAATGACAGAGCGAGTATACACTTTTTATCATTTATGTGTTCGTCTATAACTATGTATGTATGTTTTGAAGTGTTCCTAGGTATGTTGTGGGTCGTACATGGTATGTTACCCAGTCTTTCAATAGTATTTATATTTGTATATTCATTTGTATTTAGATGCAGTTGGTATATTCAACTGGTGCAGTCAGTCCACGCCCCAGTACTACCCACAGGGTACGCTTGTAACTCTCTTTTTTGTGTATTTATATAAAAGTAGTCTTTATGCATATCATATGTATACATAGTCAGTGTAGTTTATGCTTGAATGTATTTGATAAATATATTATTTAACTACATTATACCACGTCGTCCATTTGATTAAATGTGTGCATATATATGAATATATATATGAATTGTGATTGTAATGTACCCTTACATACGCATGTATATATATGTACTTATTGCTATGTATATGTTTCAGGGCGTTTGTTCTGACATATACTCCTCCAATAAATCCTTGAAACTCAAACCCGATCTGTGTGTCATGATTGAACTCCCCGGGTTACACAAATGTAGTTTACAAATGCTGATAGCGTGAATCAGTCTCACCTTCTCATGATGGTGATTGGCAAGGGAATAGATGTTCAGCAGCCCCAGTCATATTGAGAAGAATACAACAACATATTCATTATGGTACAACGAATGCTTAGGCGTAATGCCTTTGAGTAGAATAAACTACTAACCCATTTTCAATACAATGACTCTTTAAGTCGATTATACTGTTATGTGTTGATTCGCACGTTGAAACTAAATCGTTAACCGGGAATCAGTCGGAATAAGAACTAGGTGTGAAACGAATAAATAACAAAGAAGTGTGATAAAATTAACAATTTTATTCTAGAATTAACTTAGTTCACAAATTTAGTACAAAGGTCCCACTATGGCAGTACAAAATAGAGTGGCAATACAAGTTCAAAGGCGGTGTAATACAAGAAAGGTGATTGTAGCAATAAAGACAGTGGTGGATATATTTACCTCTGAGTCACTGTTATCCAACTTGCCAAAAATAGGCCTGTCATGGTTATAATGATCGTCATACATGCAGGTCTCCTGGTAACCGCCATGCCATTTTAACACAAGAGTTAACTCCTCTTACATACTTGAGAAAAGATGCTAGAAAGTCCTACTAATGACAAATTATTATGGAATAAGCTCCTTATAGAACGTTCCAGATTTGTCTGTCTAAATGTAGTACAAGTCGAAATATAGCACAATGAATGTATATTGCTCACAGACTCAGTGGTAAAAGCTTAGCATTGCGTTGCCCGATAAGGCTGAAACACTGCCGTATTGCGTCACACGTGCCAGACGGCAGGCACGCTTGTCGATGTTGATGTCGTAATTCATCACTCCGAACGCAACATCAAAGGGTGCAGGTATCAAAAGAACTCACTGTTAATCTACTAAAGTCATACAATTACTGGTTGTAAATACATCCTGTCAACTAATGTTTGATTATAAATCACTATAAAATAGTGATGATGTCGGGTGTTCCAAAAGGTGAGCCTATCCTGCCTCACCGGTGGCACCCGTCATAAGCACATGCAAAGGTGAGTCGACTGATCACCGAAAAAAACACTTACAAAAACACAAGAACGTATGGTACAGCTCAAATTCGGGAATTGTATCGGACATCAATTTTGAAACAAGTTCTCAAATGTCCTTCACAAATCTACTATAACACTTTTTTCACAGTTTTGCCGAAGCCTTGAACATTGTAACCTTGAACTTTTTAGCAAGAGTAATATGACGCTGTTTGAAAAACCTTGATAAAAAGAACATGCTCGACTACACCTCAGTAGTTGTGAAATGTAAACACCAAAGACTGTTCCTGCTGGACTATTGCTCGACATAAAAAGAAAGATAACTGTTAGACAGATGAAGACATCCCTCTTTTATAGAGCCATGTGGGGAGATTTTATCAGTGTAAATCTTTATGCGTGAATCTAAATATAAAGCATGTGAAGTGGGCTCGCTGGTTTCCTATATTTCAAGGGCATTGATTAGTATTGAAAGCTAATAGATAACAGATATACCTTAAACTTTAGTAAACATCTTGTCCAAATTACCTTGTTTTCATTTTTCAACCCAAGCAGACATTCTAACTCGTATGCACAAAGAAAGAGGTCCGAAAGGAGGGGAACACAGTTGGTGCCGGTGGGAATGCAAATTTCTTGTCTGAACTTTTTGCTCAGAAATATACGCAGATCAAAAACGAAGTCCTGCATTTCACATTATGTTTTCTCACCAGACTTGAGACACCATTTGCTTTCAGGTGATAGATATGTAACTATATCTATGCTCAATACGTTTATTATCCAATTCGCCATTAAGTAAAAAGATTTTTTGGAATCAGTGCTATATACTACCGACAAAAAATAAGGGAACTGATGAAATGACAGTGAATGTGAAATTGCTCTGAATGTCCACTAAATCAAATGTGGGCGTAAAGTTCAATATCTGGTGTGTCCACCATGTTGGGCAACACATTCGCGACACCTTGATGGCATACTGTTGATTAATTTCCGGATGGTTGCCCGTGGTATTGCCCGCCATTCCCCCCTGAAGAGCTGCACCAAGCTCGGCCAGGTTGACGGGTGCGGGGTCCCTGGCGTACACCCTGCGACCGAGAATGTCCCATAGATGTTCAATTGGGGACAGGTCTGGGGACTTAGAGGGCCAGTCCAATGTCTGTATGCCCTCTCGTCGGAGATAAGCTGTGACAATTTGGGCCCGATGTGGTCTGGCATTATCATCGTGGAATTCAAAATTCCTGCCGATGATTCTAGCCAGTGGAGCCACGACAGGACGCAAAATTTCGTCAACGTATCGCTGACCAGTCAAGGATCCATTAACGATGACCAGATCTGATCGCCTGTCATGTGTAACCCCGCCCCACACCATGACACTACCACCCCCATATCGATCATGGTCAATAATTGCCGCTCTGGCATACCGCTCACCGCTACGGCGGCAACAACGTTTTCTGCCATCTGTGAATCTGGGGCAAAACCTTGACTCATCTGAGAACATGGTGTAACGCCAATGGCGCAAAGCCCGTCCCTGATGCTGCCTAGCCCATGCCAATCTTAGGTGCCTATGGTGAGCTGTAAGAGTAACACCCTTGAAAGGCCGCCTTGCTTTCAGACGTGCTTGATAGAGCCGGTCTTTAACGGTTGAGTGTGAAATTCGTCGCCCAGTGAGTGTGCGGAATTCCCTATTGATGGCAGGTGCTGATATGAACCTATTGCGTAGGGCCATTAATGTACTGAGACGATCCTGTCGTGGTGTCGTTGATTTTGGTCTACTACGCCCAGGTCTCATTGCAACCCCACCCGTTTGACGGTACTTGTCCCACAGGCGTGAAATTACACTTTTTGTTTTACCCAACATTCGGGCAACTTGACACAATGATGTCCCCCCCCTCTATCATCCCCACAATTCTCCATTTTGTTTGTTCATTGAGATACTGCCTCGGAGGCATTTTTCAGCATATGTTCAACTCTCTTACATTAGTGATTGTGAGTTCTCCAATACGTTTACAGTGGTTGACTTCTGTGTGCACGTGCATCACGTGTTGGTAATGCATCATGTGGAATTTCATTGTCATTGGATGTTGCGTTCGGGTGCAACGCTACGGTAACGTACCCTTTCACCTCTACGTTTGCTGCATTCAATTTCTTCGTTCCCTTATTTTTTGTCGATAGTATATTTTAGATGGTACAACGAAACCGCCATTACACGGACGTACTGTTTCAAGCAAATTTCGGGAAAACTGTTGGTCGAGGAAACGTTGGGGACATTGAAAGTGTTATTTACAATTAGTTATGGTATTCGTCATGTCTAATGGATGAATCGACTATTTCTTTGTTATAGAGAGGACATTGAGGGTAAATGCCTGTACATCCTTGCGACATATTTCATATTAATGATATGGATTCCTATATCTATTTCCATTTCCCGAACACTCTACATTGATCTACAACGATGAAGGACACATTCAACTCAGCCGCCACAGGCAATCCAATTGATTTTACAATCCTTTCCTGTTTGTTCAAAACCGAGACCTCATTTCACCATAATCATAACAAAGTGTGTTTTAGTTTCATGTATTATACATATAATGAATTTCATTTTAGAATAGTATTCTAAGGCCCTGCAATTCGGCACAAGGTTCATTTCAAACCATGTCTGCCTGTGCACTTAAGGCGACAAAAGCTTCCATTCTCTCTATACATATAATCACACATGTGTGTTTGTCTGATTATTAGATATGATTATCAAGTTAATCACGATTTATCGATTCCTTCCGTGAGGTAAACTGTCCTCATTAAAACGTCAGTAGCGGTTGGAGATTTACTTGCGGAGGAAGGTTTCAAGTGTGTTAAATCTTCACAAAAACACATTCCGTAAACAAGCAAACATGTTTGCATGCTGGTATTTTGTGCTAGTCAGACATTAGAATTCAGGCGTTGTTCAATGAACTTCAGAATTCCACATGTAAAATGATATGAACGAACGTGTCTTATCGCAACGAGGAAACGACGTAAAGTTACCTATTTCAAAGTAGACACAAGTTTAGGTATTTCCAGTGCAAAATTTGACAGTCACTACATTAACGGCAATCTAGGAATCAAGTGGAAATTACATAAACACAGGGCGTGTAAATATATCTTTACAATGAAGTTTGTAATCAGAAATAAGGTACCAGTATGACTTGAGAGTTGTTTTGTACAAGTGCAAACAATGCATTTAGCTCAAAATGATTTCAGAACTGATTGGAGCAGCAGTTCCTGTTCGAAAAAGCGACACACAAAATCTCTGTTGAGGCAGATGAGTTCGTATTATCAGATTATATTACAAATGTATGTTTATTGACCAATATCATCCTGAGATGATACCAGTTATGTGCAAAAAGGTGAGCATATCCTGACCACTGTCAGAGACAGCCATCACAAACACATGCAAAGGCAAATCACGTGTTCAACTAACAAGTCGAAACAGGGATGTGTTTCGGGTATCAGGTCCTCCACAACACTCAACCACAACCATTCGTTTTGAAAGCTTTACAAAGACCTTAAAAGCTGAGACCCTGATCAAACACCTTTTGACTGAAGAGTCGTATGTCGCTCTTTGAAATCTTTACAGAAAGAACATGCTCGATCAATTGCATCTAAACAAATATCAGTTAAAGCTAAAAGGCTGAAGCCCGTAAAATATTTTCCTCGGCATAAAGAGGAAGTTTACTTTTAGTCATCCATCATGTCATACTGTGCAGTGTTGTGAAGAGTGTTTGTCTCTGTGAAAATGGGTGCATAAGCGATTAGCCAGTTTCATTGGTCTCTTCTATCTGTAGTTCAAGTTGGTAAATCCGTGGAAGGGAATTGAAAGTTGACATCAGGGCATCGAGATTGTCAGTTGAACTCTACATGGCAATGACGGAACATATTACTCTTTGCGGCTCTATAGATGTGTCGTGAGCGGTATTCGAACCAAAGTCTAGCATATGGAGTCCGCTTGAGTTAACAACTACTAGTATACATACACGCCATGAAAGTGTATTGCGTTCTTTTTAATACAAATACAATTAAGGCAAATTGCTATCATAAGGACGATTTGAGGGTCAAGGACGTTATGTAATCTTTTCGAACAGCATTATATGGACATTACCTGAAGACTGTATAAGGGGTAAGGGTCTATCATTTCTCATAACATTAAGTTCTAGTTGTGGTAAGATATCTATATTAGGCCTCGTTCGTAAACTTGGCCGTGTTGCTACTTGGTGAACATTGTTGTCACTGACTTTACTGATTTTAACACTGCTATTTTCTTTTCTTCTGCCATTACAATTGCACAGCCATTGATCGTTGTACTATTGACTACTGCCATTGATCGTTGTACTATTGACTACTGCCATTGGTCGTTGTACTATTGACTACTGCCATTGATCGTTGTGCTATTGACTACTGCCATTGATCGCTGTACTATTGACTACTGCCATTGATCGTTGTACTATTGAATACTACCATTGATCGTTGTACTATTAACTACTACCATTGATCGTTGTACTATTGACTACTACCATTGATCGTTGTACTATGGACTCCTGCCATTGATCGTTGTACTATTGACTACTACCATTGATCGTTGTACTATTGACTACTGCCATTGATCGTTGTACTATTGACTACTGCCATTGATCGTTGTACTATTGACTACTGCCATTGATCGTTGTACTATTGACTACTGCCATTGGTCGTTGTGCTATTGACTACTACCATCGTTGTACTATTGACTACTGCCATTGATCGTTGTACTATTGACTACTACCATTGATCGTTGTACTATTGACTACTGCCATTGATCGTTGTACTATGGACTACTACCATTGATCGTTGTACTATTGACTACTGCCATTGATCGTTGTACTATTGACTACTGCCATTGATCGTTGTACTATTGACTACTGCCATTGATCGTTGTGCTATTGACTACTGCCATTGGTCGTTGTACTATTGACTACTGCCATTGCTCGTTGTGCTATTGACTACTGC